AATACCAAAAAAAAAGAGTTGAAAATCAACAAACAAATTTTTCACCTCGAAGCTGAGACAGCGGAAAAATATCTACAATCATCGAAATTTTATTCGTATGAGACACAGTAAGGGAATGGAAGAAAAATAAATTTAGAAACAAAGGGAAGAAGAAACACTCTAATAAAAACATAACTTCCTGCTTCTGGATTGTATTTATTTACCTAATTCATAGGCAGTTGTTGTAAAAATTATATTTATGAGTAATTCTTCGACACTTTCGGTGATATTCATAAATATTTCCGGTACACACTGTCATCTAAGTTTTTTTTATTGCTCTCTTCTTGCGTAGAGAGGTAGCGCGGATTGCTTGAAAATGATTGAAACGTCTGCGCTTGGTGTTGTATATATATACACGTATACGCACATTATATGTACATATTGGATGAGTGCATAAGTTCGTGCCCGATTTCAAGTGCAAACTAAAATTGAAATTTTTTGAAGAAAGCGCTTTTATTAATCAATTATGTATTCGCCATCATGTTAGGCAATCAACTTCCAACGTTCAACCAATTTACGGATGCCTGATTCATAGAAATCGCGCGGTTTCTCGTTGAAAAAGGTGTCAAGGTGGTTTTTGACGTCTTCCACATATTTAAAATTTTTTTCCATTCAAATTGTTTTGCAGCGATCGAAACAAATGATAATCAGAAGGTGTAATGTCGGGTGAATATGGGGGATGCGGTGTGATTTCCCAATTCATCTCCTCCAGTTTGGTCAGGGTCGGTTTTGCAACATGTGGCCTGGCGTTGTCATGATGGAAAAGAACTCCTTGGCGATTGGCCAAAATCAGACGTTTTTCATTGTGATCGTTTCTCCAGCTGGCAAGAGCTCAAAATAGATCACGCCTCGGATATCCCACCAAATGCACAGCAGTACCTTCATCGGATGCAATCCACCTTTCGACATCGGTTCCGCCCCTTCGTGTGCCTGTTTCCATGTTCTTTTGCGTTGAACATTGTTGTACAGGATCCATTTTTCATCATCAGTCACGAGCCGATCCAAAAAGGTTCGTTTTTGATCCGTCGAAGCAAAGAAATTGCTGTTGACATACGGTCCCCTTTTTTTTCACTCAACTTAGCGAATATCTTTAGTTGCAGCGTCAACTGTTTTTCCTTTGCGGAATTCGTATAACATAATATGACGTATGTGATCTTTTTCGTTGTCCATCTTCCATGCGCCTGTTCACTAAACAACTCAAATCAAAATGAAGTTATTTTATGCTTGATTTACAGTTCGGACTGTCGCCTTTCCAACGATATATAGTATGTATATATTTCTTTCACGAGCGCCACTCTCAAACGATTCGAACGGCATCCAGCGGAATCGGGCACGAACTTATGCACTCATCCAATACATATATGTATATGTATGAAGAATCAACAATTTATATGTTCCTAGTGATGCTTCCTCCTTGACCTCCGAACTACTTAAGCAACAACTGTGAGTGTGTATTTTCATCCTGAGATAAAATTACGCAATATAATGAAGGGTTGGACACCCTAATAACTCAAACGAACATAAGTAGCTTAGAAAATATCTTCTAACCCACGTAATTTAAAAAATTAATTGTTCATTTAAAAACGAATTTAGTTCTAAAATACCGAAAAAAAGCTTTTCAAGTGGTAAATTCTAGTCCAATGTCAAGTCTTCCTAACTCTCTGCTTTCGCCGGCATTAAAAACCTTCCCTGTTGGTGTATTAGTATCCATAAAATAACTACGTTATTGTTGTCGTATATCTCCATCGTTCCATCTGCCGTTCGTTCTCAACCCGTAGAGATCATAGATCTTAGGTAAAACTATTCTCTCGAAAGCTCCCAACGTCAAGTCATGAGATTTTGTCATCATCCATGCAATTCGCCATATATTCGGACATCATAACTGTCGTGCTATATGACGACTTGTATGGCCTTTCTTAGTGGGGAGCGGATTTTACTTTTCAATTGGATACTTAGTTCAAAGGAGCACCTGTTGGTATGTAGATGGAATACAACTTGAGAGTTATGACTGTCAACAGTTAACTGGGAGCCGGGTCCTGAATGTGCTGATGACAAGAGGTATTTTGTCTTACACTCGTTCACTACTAGACTTCATTTCATTATTCAATTCGGAGTAGAACTAACCGCGCGGCTGTTGAGACCAATGATGTCCAACATTCGTGCAGAAGCTTGATTGAAATCAGTTTACACAGCCGTGTACGATCTTCGGGTTAGATAAATTCAGGCAAAGCGACATAGCAGCCCCTCACTGTGATGTCGAAGGCAGCTATAAAATCGAGGAGAAGGTGACATGTATCGAATCTGCTCTCATGACTTGGCGCATAGTGAATATCTGGTCAATGGCGAATTTACCAGATCCAAAGTCGCACTCATTAGGTGCAATCTTTAAGGGGGCAATCGCATTTGAACATCATCGTAGTCGGGTATCAGAACTTCTTTTCTAGTATCATTGATAAGGGTTTCATGTTCATCATATCCGGGCGTTGCTCTTTCACTGCCACTTAGCAGGTTGGAGTAGTATTGCCTCCACAAATGCAGTATAATCTGGGTTTCAGTCACTAGGTCACCTCTCTTTTTTCTACATGAGCTTGTTCCATTATTGAAACCTTCTGAAAGTCGTAGCATCTTACCGAAGATTTTTCGAGTATTGTTGCTGTCGGCCAGATTTTCAAGCTCCTTACACTCAAGCATCTTAGACCTCATACTTTATTTTTTGGTTTTTTGCCCATGCTTTTTGCTTTCCTCATCAATTCTTTTCCACACCCCGCCCATGCAGTGGCCAGTCGTACGTAACTTGTTATCTATCCACTGCAGTCGGGAATCCTCATCAGCTGTTGTTATTTTTTGGCCTTTCCGAAAACTTAAAGTTTCTTTTGTAGTTATACTTAGGGAGCTTGAAATGCCGCTAAACAGTTCTTTCGAGTAGGAAACTTTTCGGCTGTCTGTTCTGATTGGAGCCTTTGTTGATGGCTGTTTGAAGATATTCAGAGGAGGTTGAATATCTCACCTACAGATACCGGAGCGTGTGTACATATATCTCACTGAAGGTATGTCTTCTCTTATCATAACGTGATCCATCCGAAGAATGTGAACGAGCCTGTATATTTGGGAATGTTTCGAAATGGAAGACAAATTGGTTAACTGATGCTCTAAAGATACTTTAATTACCAACTCTGACGTTAAAATCACTCAATACGATTTTGGCAAAATTAGAGCTCATGGAAAGTGGTAATTATCTTCCATAGGGGCATGAGAAAAGATCAGCAATGTGTTGAAAAATATTGTTTTTATTCGGATTGTGGCTTGACTTTCATCCACCAGCTTGAATGCAAAGACTTGGCGATTGAGTCTTTCTCTCACCAAGAATCCTACACAAAAATTACGCTCCTTTATAGAACCACTGTAGTTCGTCTCGCAAGAACATACTCGTTACTGATCTTGCCCCGTCCATCTAAGGCTTGGATGGCGGTGATGTCAATTGTAAACCTTACGAGGAGATCGGCCAGCTGATGTGCGGCCACTTCCCAATTATGACATTGAACATTCCTGGTGTAAGCCCTTAAATCGTAGTCCTTTTAAGGATTGCCATGGTCGTCATCAAAAGTGGAGTCTCCGGTCCTACACATTATTCTCTTTTTGAGCGGAGCTGGTTTCTATTTATCAGGTCTCAATATTTTATGTTTCAGGTTTTTACGATCTCTAAAAAAAAATGATCTTTTAAGCTTTAATTAAAACAAAAATTAGTAAAAAATAAATCCTGGCTAAGCAATCTGGAAACCCGCTTTGGTTCGCATAAATCCGACACGTAGGAGAGGCAAAGTAAAGGTTTTTCCCCAAAAGAAGGTGATAAGGGAAGAAATTTTAAATTTTATTCAAGTACTGAGGATGAGGTACTGACATTTTTCCAGAGCTAGCATTAACTGCATTAACTGAGAAGCCCCAACGCTGGCTGGCACCATTGCAATTTTCCGATCATAAAGGAAAGTTTGAACTTAACTTTAAGGTATGGTTTGAGTGATACCAGTTATCAGTTAAATCAGTTAACAACTCAACTACGTTAACAATATTTTCAAATAGTTCAAAAAATCACTAGTGAAAAAAATTTTTTTTGTAATCACCTTAAGAAAAATAATCTTGGGTTGGCGGAGTACTAAGTATCCTTGGGTGGGTTTTTTAAATCATTGATATTAGACAAAAATTCTATTAATAGTAAACTCCTTTCATAGTAGAAATTCAACCATGGTTTATTGTCCAAAAAATCTCTCAAGGGAACGCTTAACGATAAAAAAGAGGAAACAACGAAACAACTTCGAAATAACCAAGGACGAGGGCGCAATTAAGATAGTGCCGGCATTTATCTTACGGTAATAACGCTTTGCGAAAATATCAAAAAAAACGCGTGGTGTTAACGCAAGATAGAACAAAAGTAAATAGAAAAACGTCCAAAACAACTAAAATAGTGTTAATAAAAAAGACGTTATCTTTAGCAACGTCAAACGCTGCAAACAAACGCCAGAATCTGACAATAGAAAGCCGAGAAAAGTGCGAAAAGCAGTAAAGAAATGAGTAAGGGCGTACTCCGACCCCACAGATAAGGAGTAAATGAACATAAAATGAATGAGTTTTGCGGCAGCACATAAAAAAAAAAATAAATGAAAAAATATATACTTGCATACTTACATACATACATACACATATAAAAGCCTAATTAGAGCCTCTATAGTGTTATCGCTGCCGAGAAAAGCAAAAAAAAATTGTTGCTAACAACCGCCATCAAAAAGCAAAACTACCAGTTAGCGGCCATCAATAAGGCAGTCAGACAATAACAACAACAAAATGACCGAAGCGTCAGATGAATTACTAACTGACCCACAGGCTGGCAGCTACAAGCAGACGGCGTTAGTGGCTGAACACATTATTTAAGTCATAAAAAGGCGTAAATGCATACACGTATACACATATTTGAGCTTTAAATATATATATATATTTATATATATGTATTTATTTATGTATATGTATATGCGTGTTAAGTACTTTAGATTTTGGCCAAGAGCAAATCGACAAATGAGACTTTCTTTCATCAATCTCACTTTTTAAGTTGGATGTGCTCGTATGAAGGATGTGTTGAAAGTGCGTACGCATGTTGAGGATGTATGCTCTTCACTGCTACACTACTGATCCACACTTCACGCAGCAATTTCGCTCTAATGATACTTATTAGTGCCTTCATTAGCGTTGTAGCAACCTCGTTAGGCGTTCCAACGCGCCGTAAGTAGTTACTTTGTACGGTTGCCGCTTATTCGATTTCCGTCGATTTCCGTCGATTTCGTTGCATCGTTCGTTACGCCTACAGCAATTGTGTAGGCAGGCAGCGACAGATTGGTGATAACGGTGTTTAAGATTTGGTGCGCTGAACGAACAAAGATTGATGGAAGAAAAACAAAAATTTTGGCTTTAAATATAGAAAACTCTTCCTTGACTGTCCTTGGCAGCAACATATGGACTGTATGCGCTGTTGTTTTTTCTCTTGTTTTCTGTTGAATGTATATTTTATGCCTTAATTTTGGTTCACTGTAATACTATTTATATACTTATTATTTTTTTTTTTTTTGAGGAAATTTCGTAACCATTGTTTTTTATTCAATTCGTACTCAAAACAACTCTTCTATACCGATTTTAACTGCTTTAGTTAAACCATTCCTGGCCTCACTTTTTTATTTCGAAAGCTTCAGCTGTGTACTTTTCGATTTTCTTCGCTTCCGTGAACACCATATCGGTTAGTTGCATGGCGAGTGCTTCGGCTGCTTGTGTGACCTTTTTAAATTTTTCCAAATCGGGCTTAACACCTTCCAAATGACCTTTGATTTTTCCCGGTGAGACTTCCTTCACCCAGCCACGTAAACCCAACTTATTAACTTGTGTTTCCAGAAATTTATTAATCGCTTCTACTGGTAATTGTCCTTTGAGATCGAAATCCAATGAAAATAAATCCTCTTTTGGCATAACTGTAAATTTTAAGTGTTTTTATTTGCCAATTAGTAATTTTGACAATTTTTTTTTGATTTTCTCGAAATGAGAGTTAAATTACGTTTACTTTGTTAAATTGAAGTTATTATTTATTTATATATGTATGTAAGTATATACATACATATGTAACCATTTTGTGATTTTTGATCTATAAAATTCTAGTCCTGAAATACGTGAATTTGATTTAATTGGATCTGAAAAGCGATGTGAAAATTTACCGCGATCGAGAGGAAATAATCTAGGTTTAGTGGCAAGTAATCCATTATTTTTGCATTAAATTGCATCAGTAAGAATTATCTGATTTCTATCAAATATGCATCCTTCTACTCGATCACTTTAGGCCATTTTGAAGGTAATGTCATTTTGACACTCCCATAAAAATCCTTGTTCTTCGCCTTGGATAAGAACAAATGGTAATGACTTAGAGCGAGGTTCGTACTAGATATAAGGTGGATTTTAAGGTGGATACGTAAGAGCCTCTCTGCTAATTTAGTGCCTAGCGTTGCCATGATGAAGCACTATTCCCATACTTTTGGCCAAAGCTGGACGCTTTTGCGCGATTACTTATTTCCAGTAGTCCAACTGCTGACAAAAAGGGTCCGAATTAAAAGTATGGCCGTAGAGGAGTAGCCCATAATAAACGACAAAACCATCGTGGCTGTCAATCCCGGCTTGGAGATTACTTGAGACGGCTCACTGCCCTTCGAAGATGGCAGTTTTTCTATAGTAGTACTATGTTGCTATAAGTGATCCGCTCTTTCCCACCAGAACACATTGCGATATTGTGACGATTCTACAACGGTTCACAGATGGAAACTCTGTTCATGCGATTTCTTCTCGTTAACTTAATGACAGCCATTCATCGAGCTTCCTTTTGCAAGTGGGGTCATTCTATTTTTTTGTGAATCGTTTACCTCCTGGGCAATCAAAACCGCGTTCACATCAGGGTCAGACTCTACGGCTTCCATTAATGTATCGACATTTTAGATAATTGGTCTTCAACCCCGCAGAGCATCCTTAACATCAAAATTACTCTGATCAAATCATGAAGAATCAGAACCATAAGCACTGTTCACTTTTTCAGCTATCTGACTTGTGCTTTCGGCTCTATCGAAGAAAGATCGTAGAGTAGAGAATATTTTCTCTTTGCTGGTGTCCGTCTTTAGCATGAGCTCACTAAAGTAATCTATTACAAGAATGATGTATTACTTTTTATACTTTTGAATGCTACCTCAGTATGAAGAACACGGCTTTCAGATGTGTCTATTTCTACCCAAATAAATTAAATGGGGAATTCAGAAGAGAAGCGAACATCCTCTTTAACATGACTCCTTACTGACCCGTATCAAAACTGAGGAAAATTGTGACAAGTACATACAAGCAGATGGTGGATACCGAAATGATGGAGCATTACCTTCGGGAGAGTTCGACCTTCAGCCGATTGAGGCTGCTCCCAGTTACGGCCTTACGGAGGAAAGTACTCTTTGGAACTTCTTTCGCTCAAACTTACTCGTTAAAGGCTTATCATCGCTGCTTTCAACAGCCAGCGATGCGAATGGGTCTATGAAAGTAAGACTAAAAATCTCCAGACATCAAACCAAGTATCAGTCACAACTAAGCTTAAGCAATTTTTAATTTAATGCAAAAGTTATTAACAATCTTAAAATTCAACCCAAATTTTCTTTTGCCGCTTACACGGCACTTAAGAAGTATGATCCTCGCTTAAAGATCATATAACATAAATCGTTTAACACGCCCGATACTTGTGGCTTGGTAACCGCAAGACGTTACTTAAATTAGGTTTTAGGTAATATAGTGGGCGTGGCTATACCTGGTTGAATAAATTTTTGGCCGTTTAGCTACTAGAATTTAAGTTTCAGTGAACAATCGTCTCTTATTCGGCATCTACGGGAGGCATACCTTGCGAAGAGTAATTTCTAATACGCCTAACCCATGGAGGTCTTACTTCTTTGACTGTGCGAGGACTATTACAACAGACGATGTATCGGCATTAGAAGAGACTCTATGCAAAAGGTATATGGTCCTCTGTTTGGTCGATACTAATGGTGAAACTGATCTAATACAGAGATAACGACTACGCTGTCAAGGAAATGAGACTTGAGTGGGCGCAAATACTCCAGCTCTGATACATTTTTCGATGCAGTATGCGCTAAGGGAATCAAGGGAAGAGCACGGTCTCTACGCCGGTGAAATGATCAAAACGGGAAGTATTTAGACTCACTTCGATTCTCTAACTATCGTTTCACCTCAATATAAGACAAATTATATTTGATTTAGACCCTGACTAGGATACATTTACATATGAATGGCCTGACGTAGGAGGATTCAACAAAATCTCCCATGTTGACCTCTAAAGAAAAACGATGAATACTAATTTCTTTCTAAGTTGATTGTCGTTGGTTATATCCAACAGATCGTTGTTAAGACCGACTAACTGACTGACTGATTACGATCTGAGAATCAACTCACCGCTATTTCTTCCCTTTGTATTCTCTCTGAAAAAAAAACACCAAGAATGTAGTCCTCACATCCGCGATCAGTATGAAGCCATCTATTTTTTTCATTTCGTACTCAAACAAGTTATTCAATAAAGTAGAAAGAATGGTTTTTTTGTTATTCAAGTGTAACCCTTAGACCTGGCATAGCCTAAACAAGACCTCTCAAACTTAACTGATATTTTAATATTTTGTATCAGAGCTCGAGACACTTTCTTCACTATTTTTGGTTTTGAAGTGAAAAGAAATTATGCCTCCTTTCGTGTCATGAATAAATCACATCCTTATCAGGTTATGTTAAATTTCCGGCAGTACCTGTCAAAGTGGTGAATCAAACAGCATAAATTTCGGCTTATTCGCCTTTTTATTTCTGTGGACAATTTCAGCTTAAATATTCATGGTTTCATAATTTTTTTTTTTCAAATATCAGCAGCTGTGTACAGGCCTCCAATTCTCCCACTTTCTCTCTCTGATTCGATACCAACCGCGAATTTAGATAAATTTCGCCATGCAAATTGTTGGAATCGCTGCAGAGAGTGATGCATTCAAATACCAGAACAAACAATCACAATTTTCCTATTAACCAATTTTTTTTTTTGCCACTTCCTCTTTCCTTCTCTGCTATTTTTTCCAAACAACTTCAACATATACGTGCGCCAACACGCTCAACAGATGATCTCAAATTTAATGCCAGTATATTTTTGAATTTTTCTCAGTTCACCAAAAACGGTACCGATAATCTTAGAGCCAAATTGTGGGGAGTTCCTTAAAACTGCCTTGAGTTTGTCCATTTTGCTGATTTCCCCTTCAAGTCTGCCTTTGATACATCCATCGTCGATCTCTTGAGCCCAGCCACGGATTCCAAGTTCGTTGATTTCATTCTCCAGAAATTGGTTGAAGAGCTCACGCGGCACCCTTGCACTGATCTCGAATTCACAAGCGTAGAGCTCGACCTTTTTAACACGTGGTTTGGGTAATTCAACGGACATGACGAAAAATTTCGAATATCAATACCAACCGAACTCAAACTGCTACAATTTATTTCAATTTTTAAATTCATATTTTTTATGTTTTTTATTTCTTTTTTATTCTTCTTTTTATGTGACGTTTTGTCACTTCGTAAAAATAGATTTTGACAATTTTTTTATTAGTGTTAAAGGGTTTCCAAAATTTTAAAGGTGAAATTTTGGTTAGAACCTTTTTTTAAATACTTCTTTTAAAATTTATATTTTGGCTTAGAAAGAATATTTTAAATGATAAAAAAGTAGATTAGTTTCACTGAGAAGAAATACTGCTAGATAAAAGGCTCCTCGTAAAATACATCAGCCGTTCGGAGGCGGCTTACAATAAGCTGTATGTGCCACAAGTTATTGGAAAAAACATCAAGACGCAAAACCACAAATTGGAGGAGTAGCTAGGCCGAAAAAAATCGTGGTTACAACTCTCACAAACCCTAATGTCTGCAACGTTGCTGTCATTGCAGCTTTTCGGCCTCAAACCTGCTTTATGCCTATTGTCGGACGTTCTTTGAATCGAGGCGATGAAAGGTAAGGAAATGTAGAAAACCGAACATGACTTCCATCTGTCATAATGTGATGAGTTTGGTTGCGTTCTTTGTCCTGCGTTACTTATGTGCGCTGAATGTGGTGCTACATATAACAGTATTTCGTGAGCTGGCGATGACGGTCAGCCTCAACACTTTTAAGAATGTTACGTGGTGAGACTGAATTTTCCGACTGTTGTGCCGGAGATACGTTTTTTGTACATCTGGGCTTTAAAAACATAAAAAAAGATTTTGACATCTTGGAAGGGCATCATGACTAACAATATGTTGAAAAACGAATTGTAGCGAGGCGAGCTGAGAAAGCCACAGCTCGATGTAAATCTCATACAAAATTTTCGCTACTTTTTATGGCCGCCGGAGTAGGTTTCACAAAAACACAACCTCATCCTTTCTGGTCCTGTCCATTGCACTTCTTCGACGACCGTTGTACGAGGGCATCAACAAGCTGGGCAGGTGCACTTTCCTAATTAAGGAACATAATATTTCGTATGCATGTCTTCGAATCGCGACTCTTAAAATATTTACAGTGGTCGTCCTCAAAAGAGTGCTGCTTCATATAAAGCTTTTGGTGATTGAATACAAAAGGAGTGACCTGCTTGAACCGGCTTGAATGGCATTCACGTACTTTTCGCATTTTTTCCAAATTAATTTTCTATAATTTTGATACAAGTGTGTTTGATCAACCGTTAGGTAGCACGCACTGCAAACATCCGACTTGCCCGACGTCGATGTCTAATACATATGTATGCAAACATATAACATAACATAGAACTATGTTCAAACTCTAAATATGCATGACAAGAATATATATATGTATGTACATAGTATATAATATTTAATCGATTATACCGCTTGCCACTTTATTTAGGATTTATTATTGCACTTTTTCCACGAATCGATGAGAAAAGTGATTGTTACTTACAGTGCTTTGATAATATATTTTATTTATTTATATACGTACGCATAATCAAGGCTCAACCACTTATCAGCATTTTGAATACATTGTGAGTGAACCCAAAAGCATTATTTTGATTATAATTACCATGAGAGCATTTTCGGGTGACAATTACAACTTCTCAATGAAGTGCTTAAGTATACTTAGATAAATGTACATATGTACATATGTGGCTTAGATTTCAATGCGGTTCCTTATTTACATCTCCATACATACATATTTATTTGTAACCTAAGTGTTGTTCATACACGTACATACATATTTCGGTTATCGTTAATGGCTGTTTTCAATATTTCTTATGCTTTCTCTAGACACATCCATAAAGATGTTGTGTCGTCGCATTGAATTATCGTTATGTCGGTGATGCTTTAGAAGTGATTTCAATAAATTTTCATTGTAGCTTTGGTAACACAGCATACATATGTATACATATAATATGTACATATGTACAGATATATAAAAATAAATTCATGTCTGCTTTGGGTACGCTGGTACGCTATAAATGACATACAAGCAAATTGTAAAAATTAAAAAAAAAAAAAATAAAAATTAAAAAGTTAAGAAATAAAAAACAAAATATTTTCAAAATATATAAATATATTTGGCGTTTCTGTGCATGCGCCTTCAGCTTTTACACGCATAATTGGATTATGTGGCCTGGGAATATGCAGCTGCGATTAAAATATTGGCAGCCGGCAAAGTCCTACTTAATACAAGTAGTGTAAAAAGGTAAACCCAAATGATTTTATTAAAAATAGCAATTATTTATTCCAAAAATATTAAGCAAACCAAATCAGAGAAAAATTGTAGGATTAACAAAATTCATTGATATATATATGTGTTAAAAAAAAATTCGAGGATTTAATTTTCAAAAAATTAGAAGCGAGCTAACACTTTCTGACACAGCGATGAGGTATTTCTCTGAAAAAGCCCGATTTTTCGAAGCGACATCGCTCTATTCAAAAAAATAATGGTTTGGTGTGGTTCGTAGGCCTGTGGAATCATCGCTACATATTTCGTCAAAAATGATGCCGGTGCGAACTTAATCGTCGTGCCATGATAACCGACTATTTAATGCCTGAAATTAAAGCTCGTAATATGGGCGACATTTGGTTTCAAAAATACGACGCCACTTCCCACACATCGCATCAATCAATGGATTTTTTGAAAGAACACTTCACTGAGCAGATAATTTCACGGTTTGAGCCGTTCGATTGGCTACCAAGTTGGTGTGATCTCACACCGTTAGACTTTTTGCTGTGGGGATATGTAAGTCTAAAGTATATGCGAACAACCACGCTAAGACCTGAGAGCAAAACATAACGTCAATCGACAGGTTACAAATCGAAATGCTCGAACGAGTCATCGATAAATGGACTCAACGTATGGGCCAGCTGATACGTAGCCGTGGTCGACATTTGAAAGAGATAACCTTCGAAATATAAATGCCAAAGTATATTCTTTCGAATGATAATAAACATTCCTCAGTAAATTTGAATTTTCTTTGCTTTTTTTAAGTATGGAACATCGAAATAGACCACCCTTTATAAAAAAAAGTTGTACCGCTTTGACATAAGAAGTGATAACCACTACTAAGTTTTTGAACGCAACTGTATTTTCACACGACTACATACACATAACAGCATGCCTTACACAGCGCGACAACATCATTACAGCTGCCGAAGCGTGCTCATAAATTTAAAGTAAAAAAAAATGATTTTTTTTTTTTTAAATCAGAAAGCGAGATCAACGCTTGTTAGCGTGAAAGGGGTCCGTAATACGCGCTGTGACCATGCTTGTCAAACGCTGATTTGATGTATTTGCTGGGCAACTCGTACTTTTATTTTTTTTTTGTCGATTTCTTGTAGTCGGCTGACATTGCAGCGTGTTGATAATGAACTTGAAAACAGGCACGCAGCGGACGCGCATTTTTTCCATACAATTTAATTATATTTTAAATTAAAGTTTTATTTTTTTTTTTTGGTCTGCGTTTTATGTTTAAGGCGCGTTTGCGCTCAGTGAAATGACATTTAAAAGAGCATTCGTTGAGTTAATGTTTTTGTATTTTGGCGTATTCATTTCTTTATTTTTCAAAAATCTGCAGCGTCCAACGTCTGTAATTTAAATAGTTCAGCTCGCTTTGCTTTTCTGTTGGTGTTGTTGCGGTACTTTCTTTTAATGATGCCACAAATGAATTAAATGAAAAAAAAGCTGCTCATCAATTGGACCCACAGGGTGTCTGTGGCGTTGTTAAGTGGCAAAAAATCCGAAGCGCGTTCGAAGCTTTCATGCATTTACTTTCTATTTTTGCATGGCTCAGCAAATATTTTTCTTGTGAAAAAAAACAAAACGAAATTGGCGTTAAATGCGTTTCGCAGTTAGTTTTTATAGCTTGGAATTTTTGTTATTGTCAATGCCAACTTCATGGGAGTGTACTAGTGCACAGGCGCAAGTTTCAACCGTTAAATTTGATTGCAAAATTTGCTTTATGAAATATATACTTTCACCGAAAGCTGTATACTCATGTATATACATACATATGTATATATTTAGGTTTGTTTATCTCAAGCTTAATTTCCATCTTAATTTTTATGAAATCGAAATCTTTAATTTACTAGACGTCGCTTAAACGATTTTTGTCGAATTTATAATATCGCGCCAATTGGAGATGCCAAGTGAAGCCAGCTTCCTCTGCACCTGGTCTTTCCAACGGAGAGCAGGTCTTCCTCTTCCTCTGCTTCCACCGGTGGGAACTGCATCGAAAACTACCAAGGCGGGAGTATTCTTATCCATCCGGACTACATGACCTAGTAAGCGCAGCCGCTGCCTCTTTAATCGCTAAACTATGTCAATATCATTGTATAGCTCGTACAGCTCATCATTCTATCGGCTGCGGCGTTCGCCGCGTAGCAAAACCTTTCTTGCGAAAACTCCTCGTCGGGAGCGGACTTTACTTACACATAGCCGTACAAGTTATATGGACTACCATTTTGCTTAAAAGTCTCAATAAGTACTTCAATATCAATCTTAATTGAATTTGCCACTCAGGGCGAGGCAGTGAAAAATGTGTCAAAATTAGAGGAATCCAAAGATTTTGCCTATAGTTTTTGCTTTCGACTTCAGGGCGTGACGCATCTCACTACAACTATCTTATATCCAATAAGTATGAACCGCTCGAAAAGACAATTGAATGATGGATTAATGATGCCAGATACCCAGGTAGGCACAAATTTTTTTTATGGGCGTGTTTCGAAAATGAGAAGCAAAATTTTCTCAGGTGCACAATATGATGATTAAAGTGGAACCCCATGCAAGTAGATATTGTGCAGTGCAGTTAGAATTATAAGGATTTGTACACTTTGCTACATAAATTTATGAATAAAATAAAAATTTTAGAAGATCGGATAAAATAGTAAAAAAAAATTTTAGTGAAAAAAACTTATAGAAATAAGAGGTGATCGAGAAAGTGCTCGTTCATTTTTGAGTACTGCGTATTGAACAGATATTTGAGTTGCTTCCGTGCCCAACTAACGAAAATAGTAAAAAAAAACTGTAAACTAACGTCGGCTTCAAGGTTAAGAGA